TTGACCTGACCTTGACATCTGTATTATCACAGTTCAGTACAAACGTATGTGCTGCTAGACCCCTAGTAAATGCATTTAGGCCTGGCGTGATAATAAATACATCAAGTATTGATATAAATCAAGTATTGGTAAATCCTTTTTAGTGTAGGGAGGAATGAACTGTCATGTCAGGTATTTGCCAGGCTCATGGACTCTAACCTCTGTAGCATGAGATCCCAGTGAGCAGGCATTATAGCTTTAGGAGCGTCTTTTGTTTTCCAATGCCTTCTTTCAGCTGGCAATGCCTCAGGGCACCGTGCCAAACTTTGGGTCCACACAGTTGTTTTTTATACTAAGTAAATTTCGTAACTTCGTAAGCAGCATGAGGGTGACCCCAGGTATTTCATGAAGCCAAAGGATAAAACATAATAAATTGTGCCGGCTTGGATAGAGAAAGTGGGAAACAATTTTACAGCTTCAGCAGTTGTTGTGTGTTGTTTTCCCAATCTCTGGTCCAGGTCAGTTTGTGTAGCATTTTTTAATGTACGTTAATTTTGCAAACTTGCATATGCTTCATAAGCAGTTGTGTGTGTGTATCATTGTTTAAAATGTTCTCTAAACTATATTGTTTATCTTAATAATTTCCATATCCAGCAAAAATTGGCTTAACTGTGTTAAACAGAATGATCAAATACAAATTACATGCATTTTTATTTGCATTGAATCAGAGTGTTTATATGAATTTAGGTATCAATATTACAGGCAACATACACAAAAAACTAATAATAAGATTAATTAGAACATATTTTTGTTACATGCTTCAATGAATGCATTTTACAGCTCAACATTCACTTTTATTACTGTCAACCTGAAATCTGATAATCCTGTGGAAAACCAGGATGCAAAGTTTTATAATTGATAATTTAATTGTAACATATTTTATGTCACAGTTATTCAGCATTATTTGTGAAAGAAAAAACTAAGTAAAATAATTTAAATACAGCCAGGAATCTTCAAATATATTATGTTGTACAGGTTGAAATACACTAGGTGCTTTCAAAACATTGTTACCCAAGTCAGATTATCTGTTTAGTTTTCTGTAGTTAATAATGAGAGTGATGTCAGGAGGGACATATGCAATGGATGAAGGGTGAAGCATTACATCAGATCAATAGGACAGATCCCTACAGTAGAAATTAGACTGGCCCATCCACCTTCATCACAACCTCCATCACCCCTCTAAAGACTGGCAGCCAAAATAACTGTCCTAATAACAGGAGAGCAAATTAATAAACCATACTCTAAATGATTACCCCCATCATTAATCCATTCTACGGCTATTTAAAGCTGCGTGCATAAACCATTTTGACAGGAGGTTTCAAGTGTTAATGGCCAGATTGAACACAATGAGTGCAGAAGGTACATTAGAGGAACAAATGATTTGATTAATTCCATTCACAGGAATAAAAACAAATTACACGGGCAGCACAATGCTGTTCACCTGAAGAAAGAAAAAGGAAAGCGAGAGAGAGCTCAGCCGAGAAATGAAATGTTTGCACTTGTGTAATTCCCTTGCAGCGAATTCGAGATGAAATTTGGTCTCTAATTAGCTGCGCTTGGACTAGATTGCATTGAGTCCACTGATTCATTTGGGAAATCCATATATCTATCTATCTATCTATCTATCTATCTATCTATCTATCTATCTATCTATCTATCTATCTATCTATCTATCTATCTATCTATCTATCTATCTA